GGGGGGGTGAATTTTTTATTTTTATATTTTAATCACTACAAGTTGACTAGTTTTCTAATTAGTTGACTAGATGTAATAACGAGATAATAGTAAGAGCAGAATTTGAGATGCAGAAATAAAGTGCAGGAATTAAAGACACCGGAATTTTTATGGTTTGGATTCAATGTGAATCCTAGTCCAATCCCCTTGGGTTGCAAGGGAATTCTCTTTCAGTGATGAGTTTCTTGAGTACAACGTGAATGGTGTGGTTTACACCAATGGCTCAGTTTCTATGTCACTCGTTTCTTTTTGATACAATGCCTCACTAGTATTTTTCTCTCTTTCTTCTCTAACTTGTTACACAACAGATCTAGTATAACTACAATGTTTGTTTGCAGTAGAACAAAGAGAGGGTATTTGGTTCGATCAAAGTATATCTGTCTAAGGCTTAAGGATGTGTATAAATACTTTGTAGGAGGCCGTTGCTGAAGAGATTTGCCAACCCAAGAGATTTGATCCTTGGAAAGAAATTGATTCGTTCCAAGAATAAGGTTATTTGCCGTTGCTCTTCCTTGATGAGAGAACTTTAATAGCTATCCTTCTACAGGTCTTGATAGCGCCGGATTTTCTCCTTGATTTTTGGTCCTTCTAGTAATAGCAGCTTGATTGATCATCTTGCAAGATCTTCGATGCTTCTTTTCCGTTTCAATCAATCTCTGATTGATTTCCTTGCCGGATCTTTAATTGTTTGATTGATTCCTTCCTTTTGATTTCTTCGATCTCGGATGTTTTCCTTGAGTCCCTATACCAAAAATAATTATATTATTTTTCATTATTAAAACTAAAACCTAACAATCTCCCCCTTTTTGGTGATGACAAAATAATATATGTAAACATCAGTTGACTTCCCTGTATTTTACTCCCCCTCAATGAGTGCAGTTGACTCCCCCTCAATAGGTGCTGTTGAGACTACTTCCTTTAGGCGACTACTTCTGCAGGATCTCTGACTCCCCCTCAAGAGGTGCCGTTGGGACTTCTTTTAGTCAGCTTCTCCTGTAGTATCTATAGTCGACTTCCCCTGCAATGGATGTACCTGCACGAATATACATATATCCTTTCTCCCCCATTTTGACATAAGCAAAGGGGAGGTAAGATAACAACAACACACTATACTAAACTAAACGTAACTTAATTTAAGTACGACTAGTAGTAATTAGTCGTTGTTCGACGAAGGTTAAGTTTAGGTCGGAA